ATTTTAAAACAAACAAAAATAATAATAATAAGATTGTTAACATGACTTGATGTTATATAATCTACTTACTGTTTATGCACTATTCGCTGTTGTTTGTATTTGTTGATGTTTTATATTTGAAAATTTAATAAAATTTATTATAAAAAAAAAATCTCGCTCACAACTTTAATGCCAGTAGCTCACAAAGTAGAATTTTTGCTCACAAGGCTCCACAGCTTAGAGGGGGTAGGTCCACCATGGCCACGTCCTTACTGCTGCTGTGTGGCTCACCGCAGCTGTCTGCTCCACCTTTCCATTGACTGCCTCAGCTTGCAGCCCCTACTCTGCTGCCAGCCTCTCCTCCACTGGCCTCCTGGGTGAGTTCCCACTGGGAGTCTGGGGCATCCTCAGGCTATGGGGGGAGGGTGGGTGAGCACCCAGGCTCTACTGAATCGCCAGGTGACAGGCAGAGGCTTCCCCTGTTGAAGAGACGCCCAGCCCTGACTCCAGACAAGCTGCTCCCAGTTTTCCGGCTGTCTTGTGCAGTCCCTTTAAAGTTGAAAGTGTAAAGGGACTGCATAAGAAAGCCGAAAACAGCTGAGCAGTAGGGAGCAGAAGAAAGCCAAAAACAGCTGAGGAGTGGGGAGTGCTCCCAGATGCTTAGCTGCTTTTGTGGCTTTCTGCTGAAGCAGAATGCGGGGGGTTAAAGGGACTTGGAATCCTTTTAAATCGCTGCTTTCTGCTTTGGCCATGAACTGACATGAATCCCATGAACTGGAAGTTTATGACAGTAGACCTGTCACAAACTTTGGTTCATGAACCATGAACAGGTTCAGTTTGTGCCCATCCCTATTAAGGACAGTCTTCTTCCATATGTACTCTTGGGTTTTTTTCAGAGTTACTTCTTTATGTGTTTTCACCATTTGAAACATGGCAGGTATACACCAAGACAGAACCTTCTCTGCAGTGGCACCAAGGCTGTGGAATAAAGGGTTGCCAATCCCCAGTTGGGAGCAGGGGATCCTCTGGTTTGGAGGCCCTTTCCCCTCTTTAGGGTTATCAGAAACTGGGGAGAATGTCTGCTGGATGCTCTATTATATCCTATGGAGACTGGTCCCCATAGGGCATAATGGAGAATCAATCCATGGGTATTTGGGGTTCGGGGGGGCTGTTTTTTTGAGGTAGAGGCACCAAATTTTCAGCATAGCATCTGATGCCTCTCCTCACCCCCCTCCCCAAGTTTCAAAAAGATTAGACCGGTGGTCCAGTTCTATGAGCCCTAAAAGAAGGTACCCCCATCCTCCATTATTTCCATGTTCCAATGATGATGATGATGATTACTTCAATTTATACCCTGCCCTTCCCACAAGCATGCTCAGGGCAGCTTATATTAATTGGTACCCAGTACCATAAAACCATATACAAAAGTTAAAACATTTTAAATATTATAAACATAAAACAATCCAATTATTAAAGTGCTAGTGATAATAGTCAACGTACAGTGATCAAGATGGCATACTATATAATATACAAACAGTTATTTCCAATTCCGGGATCTTCAGCATGGCATGGTGGTGTGGCACAATTTCCATGCCTGGGCCGGCCTATACCCACGGATGTTAGTGGTGATGGTGTGGCGGCTCCTAATTGAAGGCCTGGTGGAAGCACTCCATCTTGCAGGCCCTGCGGAACTGTAAGAGGTCCTGCAAGGCCCTTATATCTTCTGGGAGCTCATTCCACCAGTACATATGGAAGAAAACTGTCCTGAAAAGGTCCTGGCCCTGGTGGCAGCAAGCCTGGTGTTCTTAGGGCCTGGAATGTCGATGTTGTGACCCTGACCGTAGTGCTCTCTGGGGTATGTATGGGGAAAGGCGGTCCCACAGGTATGTCAGACCCTGGCCATATAGTGCTTTAAAGGTCAATACCAGCACCTTGAAGTGAATTCGGTATGCTGTTGGCAGCCAGTGCAGTGCCTTCAGCACACGCTGGATGTGCTCCCATTTAGAGAGACCCATCAAAAGCCTGGCCACGGCATTCTGCACTAGCTGCAGCTTCCAGATTTGCAACAAGGGCATTTAAATGTGATGGCCAGAACTTTCTTTGGAGTTCCGTCATGCTTCTTCCATCTCTTCTTCCGGAGGCTCCTGGAAAGTCCCCCACTGGCTTGTCAGCCTCATCTGGCAACCCTAAGTGGTACCCATGTGTGTGGCTTGGGTAGAGAATGAGGTGAGAGCAACCTCTGTGTTAGAAGCACAAGCTCCTACCATGGAATCACAGGAACCTTCTGATGTGGGGGTGGACCTGGAAGGACCTTGCTTCTGGCTCCACCCCCAAAGTTTCCTGGCTCCACCCCCAAAGTCCCCAGATATTTCCTGAGTCAGACCTGGCAACCCTAGTGGAATTTCCCCTCTAAGGAGATTTGCTCTACCGTATTGCTTCTGACTTTCTGGCATCATTTTGAACCTCTTCTATTTCAGAGAACTTTTTCTATGTGAAATGCTGCTGTTTAGTTTCTCTTCAAATATATGGGAAAATTCATAAGTGTTGACTTTTGTGTGTATGTTCTGGTTTCTGTTTTTGGACTTCACTGAAGTTATTATTTTGTAAAGTACCTTTAAGATGCCTTATGATTTCAGTAATAGATTGAAGGCCAAGGGTAAAAATAACACAACAGAAACAGCCTTGTTGCTTGTGCTTATCAATTTAAATCTGTGAGGTAATGAAATCTGAGAAATTCCCCAAAGACCTTATTGGGCTGGAGCATTCATATAGGGTGATGAACTGCTTAAAATTATGCAAGTCCTAAATAGTTCAGGATTCCATGATCTGAAAAATTAGTATGTGTGCACAGAAACTAACAGGTAGAAGAAGAAGAGATTGGATTTATACCCCGCCCTTCACTTGGAGTCTCAGAGCGGCTTACAAACTCCTTTCCCTTCCCCTCCCCACAACAGACACCCTGTGAGGTGGGTGGGGTTGAGAGAACTCTGACACAAACTGCTCTTTTTCAAGGACAGCTGTGCCAGAGCTTGTGACTGACCCAAGGTCACATCAGCAGATGCAAGTGGAGGAGTGGGGAATCAAACCCGGTTCTCCCAGATTAGAGTCCGCACACTTAACCACTACACCAAACTGCACCATCCAACTGCATGAAAATAGGCCAGGAGATAGGTTACTATGTTCTACTACACTAGATGTTCTTTTAAAAGACATTCCATGTACAGCATGTCACAAAAACATGAATTATAGCACCCAAGTCCCTATTTTCTGCAAAAAGACAAAGTAAGGTGCTGGCAAAACTGGGGGGAGAAAAAGACAAAAAAACAAAGTTGGCTGTAAATGCTTTGAGTGAAGGAGCTCCTGTAAGGGAGAATTGGGGAGAAAATACCAAACAGGAAAGCAGATAGGGAAAACCCAGGCTGGGTAGAGGCTTGCCTGTTTACCTTTCTGAAATTATCTGGTTAGATCAAAAATAGGGCTGTTATAGAATGGTGGTGATAGTACAGTAACTAGACATCACATTTTCAACTTCTCTTGAAGTTACAAAATGTTCTGCTAGATTTTTTAAAAAAACTTTATGAGTTAAAAACCTAATTTTAAGAGTCTTAACTTTCCCAATGAATTGAGGGATTTTGTGGTATTTCCTGTCCTAGTTCTGTTTGGTATTGTTTCCAAGGGGCTCATTCAGATGATTAGAATGATATTAAAATTGCAGTGACAGAACAAAATACCAACCTTATGAGTTTCTGAAGCTCCTTGTTAAGTTCTTTCCTGTTCCAATGGTTTGGAAGGCATTTCATAGGATTTTGTCTCTGTGAAACAATTAACTTCCTTCTGCTCTCAGGACCGCAGCCTAGGGGTGATCTTTTTCACCCAAAGATGTGAATTAGAGAAGTGAGGAGAACTGAAATCAGTTGACACTGGCTGAGCAAAAGATACAGCTGTTAATGTTGATTTTTTAAAAATGGAATGCATAGCAGGCTGTTGCTGATAAATGTGAAGGTCTTGCCCTTGAGCCTGTTGTCTGAAGCTCCGAAGTAACAGAATGACCTAGCAAAATATTTTTTAGGAAAATAATTTAAGTCTCTATTCAGTAGTTACAGCCCTGGGATTCAGCCTTGGGCAAGACAACAAGCAGGTCTTCTCTCCGTATGGTTCCCCTCACCACACAGAGAAAGTAATTTGTCCACTGGTCAAGCAGATGCTAAAATATCTTTCCAAGAACTCTCCTTTATTTATCAAGGGAAGGAATTAGCATTCATAAGCATAGAGGAACATATGAAATCGCCTTAGACGGAGGACTTTTCTGTATGCTCGACTTACTCCTGATTTTCTTGGCAGTCGATCGAAAAGCACTGGAATCCGTTTGGGCATGGCTCTTCCCCATGTCTGCCCTCCCTCTGCATTTTCACACTTGTGGAGTCTGTTTATTTGCTTCTACATGTGCCTTAAATAATCAGGATTTTCAAGGGAGGGAGCTGGTGTCATCAAATGGCATCACTGCAAGCCCCCTTTTTATTGTTTGTGCATATTGATATTGATCAGGGCTCGAAAGAGCAGGGAGCTCCATTGACACATTCAGGACTGCTGGGGGAGGGGAAGAATAGTATTCTTGGGGCAGGGCACTGCAGCTGGGTGTTGTGGAGGATCGATGTGAGTCCCCCCCCCCAATGCCTGCCTGCATGGGGAACCCTAAAGGGGAGCACCTCTGCCACCTTCCAGTTTATGAACTATGTGAAGTAATACGTCCCTTTTAAACCATACTGTTTTTTTCTGTTGCATTTTTTTTTAAACCGACTCTAAAATGTTGCTGTATCAGTATTCAGCTCTGACAGTTCTCAGGTACAGGACCGTGCCCGTTCTGGCATTCTTTTAACTGGAGGCACGAGGGATTAAACCCAGGATCTTCTGAATTGCAAAGTGTTTTACTTTTGGACCCTGGTGATGTTAGTGCTATCTGCTGGCAGCATTGACATAAAAATGGAACTGGGACAGTCATGGGGTTATTTTTGTCCCTACAGGCGGAGAAACACACAACCTATATGTGCAAACCTGCAAGCAGAGATCCTGAAGTGCTACAATGAAAACAAGCACCAAGTACTCAACTGCTCAGAGCTGGTCAAGGAGTATCGGCGTTGTGTTAGCCTAGCACAAAAGGTAACTAGCCTTTTTGCCATCTTCAGTTTACTGGTCGAATTCATCTTTGTTTCCCCAGAATAATGTTGTTCTCTCATTACTGCTGTATCTAGTGATGGCAAGGTCAATCCGAAGATCCTACTAATGTCCAGATTCTCTCTCTTGTTCCAAGCACTGATACTCAGCAAGGTGATTCACAGTACAGTAGTTACCGTTGCCACATGCAAGCTGGGTTGTTTGTCACAGACCTATGGAATCAAACTTGATTTCTGCTTATCCTTTTTTTGGGTAATTTTGTGTATTTTTGTGTGTGTGATTGTGTGCATGTGTGTGAGTGTGTGTGCACCTGGAAGTCATGGTGACCTCTGGTGACTGACCCCTCCTGAGGGCCTGGAGGATATTCAGAGAGGTGCCTGCCCTTGTCCTCCCGACTAATGGTATTTCAAAGAGGTCTCCTATCCAAGTACTTGCCAGGGTCGGCCCTGCTTAGCTTCCGAGATCTGACGAGATCAGGCTTGCCTGGGCTATCCAGGTTGGGGCGATTTCTGCTTTTCCTTGATGTGGAGAGATGTCCTCCGCCCAAGAATTCATCCCAGTATTACAATCATTGTGACTGCTTTCTGTGTGTGTAAATTGGAATCCAGCTGCAAACTAGTTGCTGGCAGGAAAGGGAGGGCTGGCAGACTAGCCATCAAGTTCCAAGCAGAGAGTACTCTAGGGCTTACATATGGTAACCTTTCCTCTTGAAGCATGAAGGGGTGAACAGACAGAGGGGGGTGGGCTCTACCAAGGGAAGTATATGTATTCTCTGCTACAGAAGAGAAGCTCTCTTTCATCTGGAGCAGCTTTTTGGAGTGGCACGAGCCATGCAGGCAGGCCCGTAGCTAACGCGGGGCCCACGCCCCTCCGTGGTTTTTATAGGCTCCCCTCCATAGCCAACCCTAACACCCTTCTAAGCAGGAGCCCCCCCCCCTCGGCCTAGGCGATGATAAAAAGAGAGAGATCACATCTGATCCATGGAGCAAGCCAGGCCGCTCTGCTGGACCAGACTGGAAGTTTACTCCCCCCCCCGCCCGCTCCCCAGCCCCTTCGCCGGAGCTAGAGGAGAAGGGTGGAACTGCCCCTTCTCTGCCCAATGGAAGGAAGGAGGCTGGGGGATCTGCGGCAGCGGCAGCAGGCAGTGTTCCCGAAAGCCAGCAACACACAAAGGTGATGGGGCACCACACGCACTTCCGCCCCAAGTGCCTGGAGGGGGTGGTGGGCACATTGCCTTGGGGGTACCTGAATGTTGCCACGCTGTGGTCCCCCCCCCCCCGGCCCTTTCCCCCTGGCCCCCTTGTCCTATTTAAACATTGTATAGGATAAGTACTGAGTGTCAGGAAAATGAACTGTCTGTTTTTACCTTTTCTTTATGCCCTTTCCCATCTTGAATGCTTGAACAAGCCGTGTGGATTCTTTTTATTCATTTATTAAACTTTTTAACATTTTGAATGTTCTAAGTGTAATCTCTGGAAGCACACCATGCCTTGATTGTGTACATGCTGTGAGACTAATGTGAAGCTGCAAATAACACCATGATTAGAAGCAATCCAGAGTAGTTCAACAAGCTGGCATTGGGCTTGGTGCAGCCATCTGCATTCTTCAACGTCCTTCATCTCATAGTCCATAACTTCCATTTTTTTCAATGAAACACTAGCTGGTCTTCTGTATAAACATAAAACAGAGTTAACAGAGCTCTAAAGAAGCCCGACACAAACACAAATATGAGGTATTTTGATGTTATTGTTGGGACGAATGGATAATTCCTTTAATAGGCCATATGGTTTGCTTTGTAGGATAAATTGTGCCAGCTTTGTCTAGCAAATGAACAACTTTTTGGGGTGGATCTGGACATAATGGAATGACAGAGCTGCTGCCAAAAAATGCTTATCCTGTGCTGTAATATCATGGTTTTCTGCGTTTTCCACATTCCCACCAGTAAATAATGTGGAGAGGGGTGGGAGAATACACACTATGCGATGATGTTCTAAGAAGGAAGAGGCAACATTGCACGTTATGGTAGAAAGGCCGTTAGTATCGGTGGTGGCATAGCCTCTGCTGATTCCAGTGGGTTGGATGCAGCCAAATGTTCCACTGACGAAAAGGGCTGGAGGAGAGGGGGTGCCTTTTTACCACTGATGCGGCTATGTTGTGGCTGGTCACTTGGCCTGTGTAATAAGGAGGGGAATTGGTTACAGCTGAGTGAACAAGCTGGTTGGGTCCTGCCCAGTGTGTTTTGTCCCCTGCGCAACTTGGAAAATTACGAGCTAACTACACATGCCAAAAAATCCTGCCTTGTGCCATTTGAATTTTGAGAGGAGGAATGCTCCTTGGGTGCCATTGTTCAAAGCAGCGGAGTGGACAGGGGAAAGCACCACTCCCTTCTTCGACACCTCTGCTTCCACGTATCTCCTGGGGAATTGCCTTTTTAAAAGGGGGGGGAGAGACTTGGGACTCCTGCATGCATTTCTGTGTTATGTATAGACTAGGGAGCAAAGCCCATTGTGGACGAAGACAGTGGGCCCTAGAAAGGTAGGGTGGGTGGGTGGTAGATAGATAGTTAGATGGATACATAGAGGGGCTTGGAGAAAGAGAGGGAGGGAGGGAGAGAGGGAGGGGTCAGTAAGCCAGACAGACAGGGAGGGAGGAGGGGAAGAAGTGAAAGCGATGGGGATGAAGGGAGAAAGTGAGAGAGGGAAAGAATGAAGGGAGATAGGGAAAAACAAAGAGAGAGTGAGGAAGGGGGGGTTAGTGGGAAAAAGGGGGCGGCAGGGGTTGGCTCAGCGACGCTGTGGCTCCTCGCCTGCTGGCCCCGGAAAGCTGGCGAGGGGGGGGTGAGCAGTGAAAATCAACGGGGCAGTGGGGGTTGGCAGAGCGGCGCCGCCGTCGCCCCACGCCTGCTGCCCCCGCAAGCTGGTGAAGGTGGGGGGGAGCGCCGAAAACAGGCTGTTGGGGGTTGTCTCACCGTCTCCGCCTGTGGCCTGCCGCCCCGAAAGCTGGCGAAGGTGGGGTGCAGTGGCAAAAAGAGGGCGGCGGGGGTTGGCTGAGCGCCGCTGCCCCTCGCCTGCTGTCCCCGGAAGCCTGTAGGGCTCCAAAGGGTCTTTGAAGCCGGGGGTGGGTGGTGGGCGGGGGAGGTGAGAAAACAGGCGTGCGATAAAGGGGGGGGAATCCGGCCGCTTCGAGCGGTGATGAGCTGCCGCCACCGGCCTTCCACTGATTCCCTCCAGCCCTGGCTAGTTGTGGGGGGGAGTGTTCTGAGGTGGGACGTAGGCAACACGGCCAATGGAAGCTGGGGAAGCTTCTGACAGACAGCGCGAGCCTCCAAACACTGTTGGTGTGCATGTTCTCTCCGCTGCGTGACCCTGCGTCTTACTCAAGTATATATAAGGGAGAGATGCACACATGTAGATCATGTGCCCATAGACCTTAAAAAATGAAGAAGGTAGCAAACATACAATTGCAAGTTTAGGCTTATTAAGGATGTTGTGTCAAGCCAAATTATTATTGTGCATCAACTTTGTTAAAAACCTTAGAAAGGTAAGGCCAATTATTGTTTAAGATGCCATAATGCTCTTTATCTTGTGTGAGTGATTTTGAGGACCAACTCATATGTTGGTTTTTCTAACCTAGAACAAACATGTATCTTTTACTGCAATGCAAGCAAAGTGTGCTTTGGCTGTATACCCGTAGAGCCCTTCACCCCCACTATGCTTATGCTTTTTCCAACACAGATTAATAAAACGTTACATGTGAAGTGACTCCAGGGTAGATTTTTAAAGAGCAGCTAAAATGGAATGGAGACAGTGAATTCTCCAGTCTAATGCAAAGGTAGATCCAAACTAATTTATAGTTCTTATCCCTGGATATGTCTTTTAGTTGAAAATGAGTGATTAGTCTAAAACAGGCACTTTTGAACTCATTGGCCGAAGAAGAAGGAGGAGGAGGAGGAGGAGGAGATTGGATTTATACCCCACCCTTCACTACCCAAGAGAGTCTCAGAGTGGCTTACAAACTCCTTTCCCTTCCCCTCCCCACAACAGACACCCTGTGAGGTAGGTGGGGCTGAGAAAGCTCTGACAGAAACTTCTCTTTTTCAAGGACAGCTCTTATCAGAACTACGGCTTGCCCAAGGTCATCCAGTCAGGTGCAAGTGGAGGAGTGGGGAATCAAACCCAGTTCTCCCAGATTAGAGTCTGCGCACTTAACCACTACACCAAACTGGCTGAAGCATGCAGTGGATCATGCAGTGGATCTTTCATGTATACTATGATAATGTGGGACTGGTGCAAAATTTAAAATATCCCTCTGAGGTTTGCAGTGTGCAGGGGAAGAAGAGTTGCAGCAGCATCTGATGGTTCCATCAGGTTGACCACACATTTGCTAGGAGGCTGTAATGCCAGGCTGATCATGCATTTCCTTGGAGGCTGTTATGGATCACGGGACTTCAGATTTGCAAAGCTGGAGCTGGAGGTCAAGGTGATTTGTTGAAGCAGGGGTGAAATTCACGTGAACGTGGGAGAGTGAGGGTATGTGAAGAGAACCACTTTCCTTTCCATTAAGGTTGAGATGAGGAAACTGGATGCCTGATTTAAGTATTATATGGAACAAACTGCCAGCCGGCTCCCAGAAACCTCAGCAGGAGATGGGAAAATTGTCAGGATATATTAGCTCAAATGTTGTTGCATGTCCTGGTGGATTTTCCCCCTCTTCCTGTTTACAAAGAAGGTCTTTGTACGTCTGCAAATCAGCAAGGTTAAGGCTGCCAGGGAAAAGGGCTTTGCTCTGGTATCTTTTGAAGTCCCTGGCTCCCAAGACGTGTGCTTTTCTTTTTCTTCCTTGGCTTTAAAATGAAGCGGGCTCTGCATAGCTGTTGCACATTCCTTCCCCCAAGTAGCTCTCTACAGAATATGCCTCATCCCTTGCCAGCCTTCGAGATGCAAGCCTCCCCTCCTGCCTCCTGTAAATCAGGCTTGTAGCCCTTT